TGCCTATCTGTGTGTGTGTATTAATTGTTTATGATTTTGTATTTGTGAATGGACCTTACAAGGACACACGTTTATATAATACTTACCTTGATTAAGCGCCAAAGCAGGGGCATAAATGACAATCCCTAAATACAGGAGCTACAATAAAAATCAGCAATTTCAATAATATGTAAAATAAAATCAGACATGTAAAGCTTTTCAGTAAAGCTGATGAAGGCCAGAGGACTGGCCGAAGATTTCTTTCGAAAATAAAGTGTTCAATAGTCTATACATGCTTTGTTGTCCAAATTTTTGTTTCAACGACTAATATATAATTTGAAGAACACACGTGGATTTACAATGATATATACACGTTAACACTGTTGAATAAATATAATATAAATCATCAAAGGTACATATACAGTGTTTAAATAAGGACATAATGGAACATCGTAGGCTACCCTGTAGCTTTCCAATTCGTCAGGTAACGTCTCAAAATTCTGTATTTTTATATGGACAAATAAAATTTCTTGAATTTAGAAAGAATGTTGTGCTTTTTTTTTGGCTTACCATTTGGGCGAAGAAAGTGAACGTACCACAAAGCCTAACAGCTCGATTGAAGCGTTTTTCAAGGTACTGTAGAGAAAATGGAGTTTGAAAACATTCATAAAATCAAATAATAATTACAAAGCTCTTAACTGCTCTTGAACACTTGTAGATAAATAAAGTCACTCTGAAGTTTGACGAATCTTACCGGTTTTTTGAGGTTTTATGCCAGTGAATTGTAAATTTGTAAATTGAGTAAGAATATAGATCAATCGGCATTTCGTATGTTATTCTTTAGCTACATAACCTTTGTTATAAGGCCTATCATATGCCTACGTACTGGTGTAGAGGTTGCATTTCCCACCTTTAACAACACATAAAGAAGAAACTAATACGTTGAAGGACTATACTCAACACGAACATAGCATCATTTTTGCTCCTCCATTGGAGCACTGTTTCTCTTATTTACATTCGTATAATATTATATATTGTATATAATAGGCATATTGAAAACTAGTTGAGGTTATATAATTTTAGGCATAAATATATTTATATGTACGTTTATTTACACTATATATACATTTATAAGTCCACATCATTTACTATCATTTAGCCTATTTCTTTTTTCTTTTTTTTTATTAATTATAGTTTGTTTTGATATAGGCCTAATGATTATTCATATTCAGAAATAAGAATGATCAGCTAAGCGAGACAGAAAAGCCTCTTGAAAAGTGGTTCTCATATAAATGTAATATTCTTCTGTCCCCTCGTGGTTTAATGAAAACATAGTGTACGGTTGGGATAGGAAAATAACATTGGGAGTTACAGTGTTGACTCAACAAGTATGTCAAATTCAGCAGATCTGGTAGAATGGTGAACCATAGAAACCAATTATCATGATGTATGACATTTTGACGTAATAATATCTGCATCCGAATCTGAATCTGATGTCTCAATTGACTTATAGGCTAACACAGAATCATAGTTGAATCCAAAAAACAGATTTGACAATGACACCACCCATCTAAATTATCGTTTTTGCTTACTAATGTCAACACCTTTATCTATGGTATATTGTACTTTACGTTGAGCGAGAGGAACGAACTGTACGATAGGCCTATAGTATTTATTTTGGCTAACATGAACCGCAGTGAATACTAGAGAATACCATCAGGTTAAGTGCCGTTTCCTTAATTCGATAGCAATCGCTGTTTGTTTATAACTAACAAATGTACGCAGTATTATGAAGAAATATGCTTATATAGATGGCATTTTCTATTTCAACGATCGGCGTTTACATCTATAGAATATACTTATTTTGCATATAGCTTACATTACCAACATCCTTTATGAAAGCGTTTTTACTTAACCAGGGAGTTGTTATACAACTCCCTGACTTAACCAAGATATATTCCAAGATATATAACCAAGATATATTCTATTGGATTTGAAAACCATCCCTACAGTATACACAAACAATAAGTTTTATTTAAGCGTGTTCCAACGATAAGCTTTCCATTTATATCTAACATGAACCCGAAATGGTAGCAAATGTTGCTTCTGTCGGTTTAATTACCTTACCTCATATGCACTTGTAAGTTGAAGTTTGTAGAAAATTGGTAGAAACAAGTGAGCAGCACCAAGACAGACGAATAAATACGTAAGACCAAACCACCAGAACATGGTCCCATAATTGTAGATTTCCGCAGGGGTACCAAGAACTGTAATAGCGGACATAAAACTGGCTAAAAGTGACAGACCAACAGGGAAGGCACTCATCTGTCGATCTGCCATCAGATACTCATTCGATGTCGATTGTCGTCCTCCACATAATGCATGGTAAACACCAATTCCAGCGGACACACATAACATCAGAGAAAACACTACATAATCCCAGGCGCTAAACTCATTTGTGTGCTTCGTCATTATGAAATCGTAACTAAATGAGAACTTGATTGAATAGAGAATACACTAGAAAAAAAGATGATATTCTGAACGTATGAGACGATGCATACAAAACTTAGCCTTATACAAGTCACCTCAAAGTACAATATACTCCTGAACTGCACAGAGGAAACTGTGTTTATGTTTTATGGGTGGTTGTATACTTTAGAAGTTTTATAACTATTGAACTCTTTGTGCTTAGTTCATATAGCGACCCTTGTTCATAGATCAGACAATACTATCAACATTGACGTAGTCACGAGTAAAGTGTTCTATGATTGTACTGTAAAAGTACTGTACCCAGTTCGTGACAACATACCTATAGTAAACAGGTTAGACCAAAGAGTATAAATAGACATACCACCAGGGAACATAGTCGAGCCGGTGCCAAGACAAATGGTCATAAAAATGTTCTCTGATTATTCTCGAAGATAAAATTAATAAAGTTATAAAAATGATTTTGATGAAGTAATTATCATAATAGGGTTTGTTTAGTGGTGTTACAGATATGTGCGTATGTATGTCCGCCAATGCCTCCAAATGAAATTCTATACCTCTTTGGTTACAGATATATAAAATTCGGGGGTGGACATTTCCTAACATTCGATTTTACGATTCTTCATGTTATACTACTTTTGGAGTCTTCGGGGTCGGCTTACCCACTTTAACATAAAAAAAACAGGAAAACACTCGTAAAGTAAATTCACGTTTAGAAAGTATAATACATACTGTATGAAATACACGCCATCGTTTTGGGATTCAATATTTCGACATTAATTACGTCATCATCATCATTCCTGGAGTATGTATTATACTTTCTTATCTGCGATTAATCAGTGGACCTTTCGGTTTCTATTTACCTTTGATTTCAAAATTAACTGGGATGAGGTGCCCACTGTTGTTCTGGGCTCTTGGGCCTACTCGGGCCATGGTTTTCCTGCAAATCGTAATATAAACGATATGGTGATGAGACGTAGGTAAAACGCTACAAACATACATACATCAGGCCTATATGTAATTTGATGCATATTTATTCATAAATATTTGTACAACAGTGTGACGCAACTTGCAACCTATTCAACTGTAAGACAATGACTCGTCATACATGCAACAAAGTTCACAACAGCAGCATTAGCATATACACTATTATTGTACCTTGGTTCAATTGCTCACGAATGCAAGCGCTGAAAATTGCAGACACTTAAATATTTCTGATGAAGACAACGTATGAATGCAGTACACATTCCGGATACTGGCCCTTTCTGGAGTGCCAATCAAACTTAACAACTGACCAATCAGAACACAGCCAGGAATACGCGCGTCTCACGAACACGCGTGTTTGCATATATTTTTACACCGGTGTTTTGTGGGACCTAGAAACAACATCCAAGGGGTAGGCCAGAAAGGTCCATTAAAACAACAGGTGAAAATCACATGTGGTATTCACAGCATCGTTCACATTTTAAAATGTACGCAGTAATCCATGTCAACACAAAATATGACAATAAGTTATATTAAACTGGGCATTACATAACCTTACACTGCATACTAACATCATTTTAATAGATCACTTAACAGAGGTAAATTCATCACATGACAGTAATATGTCACTTGAAAGAGACATTATGTTACCCCTCACAGTGAGTATATCACAAAGATTATACATCACTGGGTCAATTAAAGGACACGTTAAATTACCAGTGCAGACAGATAAAAGTACTTGAAAGAACATTACATTATTTGACCCAGAGCAGCATGTCATTAACGACGACATATCACCGGGTCGGTGATACATTACGTAACCTGTTATAGTGCAGTACATCACCAAGGACAACAAGTCACCTGACCCTTCAATAACTGACCAAGTACATAGTGCATCACAAAGTACATTAAATCATCTTATCTGTATGTCAATAAACCCAAGACACTATGTCATTGCATATAAGAACTGACCAAGTACAGCATAGTGCATCACAAAGTACATTAAAATTAAATTATCTGACCAGTATGCCAATAAACCCATGATATTACGTCATTGCATACTGTATAACTTTACATACAACTTTCATTTAGATGTTCCTGTATCACTCTCGTTCCTGACACAATCCAACCTTTTCCACATAAATATTTGTCTCTATTAAAAATGGAATGGTTAGAATAAATAGGTAAATAAAATTATGTGATATTTTATGAACAATTATAAATGGGAATTATATAAAAAAGAATATCTATTTTAGTAATACAACAGCTTAGGCTTTACATACTGCAATGCATCTTGACTTAACATAGATTGATAGAAAAGTCTTTCTAGCTGTCCTTCAAGGTAATGAATTGCCACTGGAGTTGGGAGAAAATACAAGTTGATGCCCATCACTTAACTTATCCATATTATTAGTTGCCATAGCAACTGATCTCCCCATTTGATACATATAATGATTGAGATTTGTTATAAGGTTTTCAAGAGTAACCTCTGACAAGTCTTGCTCTGAAGGAATGTTTGTAGGTAATGCAAACTGAGCTTCTCTTTTTTGATTTCTGTTCTCATTTTCTTCTGTTGAATTGATTGCACTGGTGTTGGTCCTAACCCCTGACCCTGATGAGGCATGTTCTGTGTTGTTGCTTTGGAAACGTTTCAAGAGTTCTGTCTGGTAAGTCCTGTAACACAATATAGAAATCATGTTACCATATTAAATAATAATATATGGAAGACAAAACAAGGAGTGATACACTTAACAAGACAGAAGAAAATAAAATTACAGTTGTAGGAACACTGTTTTTCTGTATAAGAATAGAAACTCTACTTTAGCAAAGAGTATTAATTGAACAAGAAACATAGACCCGTTTGTAATTACGTTACTCTCCTAGTTACAATGGAAGTCGCCATCATTGTTATGTAGTGCATCCACGCTGTATGAGTTCACATGAAATACGTCCGCTTCGGTGGTATGATGATAAAGAAAAATAAAGAAATCTACCACCCTCTACGAATGTATTTTATCATGTGGAAAACTGAAATACAAATAAACAAGCCATGCGCGGTGAATTACTGGGTAATTTATTGGTAGCGGGCACCCTACACTGGCTGCGTATGGCGTATCGTTTGTTTACGCTCTCAAGAGCGTAGTCGGCTCTCTTGTTCTATTTTATAGTCTTTGACCTTAGGTACTGCTTATGTAGCTTACCTTATGTGGTCATAGCACAATCTAATATTATGGCTCATTTTACAAGTTTCCACAATCAAGTCCTGAACATATTGCCACGTTTTGCGATCCTCCATCAGACAGCTTTCAGCAACGCTACGTAACTCACGCTCCTCTTGCACTTGAGCATCTAACTTACTGTTTGCTAAACTTAACTGAAATGTGCAAAAATATATTGAAAATAAATTGAGGTAGAATATGGTCTTCAAGCAAATCATAAGTAGATTACTGTAATAACACAAATTAAGAATACTTCCACCCATAATAGGCTCTTATCATGTAATCATACCAACACTACAGATGACAGGACAACATATCTACTGCCACTTTAAGGCTAAAACAAAACCATAAAAATGCTAAAAGCTATGAAAGCAAACAATAACAACATTGAAGAGTATTGTTACTTAGTGTTTAATAACATATGGGCTTTAAGGGTGTGCCACGCATATTAACAACTTTTAATGTTTTTTAATTGATGACTGAAGCCACTCTAATCCTATTACTCATAAAGAGATATAGTTTACAGCATACAGCCAAGTAGAATTGGTGTGTATATTTGCAGTTGAATGTGATAAAAAAAAAAACCTACCATGCAAAAGTAAATAACAAGGCTCATAAATGTATAGGTAAATCTATAAATGTTGGACATTCTGTATCTTGATGGGAGACTTCACAGATCATAAGAAGAAGCACTTGGGTTATCTCATTTAAATTGAGTGCTCAGAGTTGTAATACAAATATTATGTGTTTAGAAATTGGTGGTTTGAATGGGTAAAAGCATCATAAAAGTTTGCATCCAAAACTCTATCTGATATTATCTCAGTCTGAAGTGTCCTACATGGCAAATATTTCATTTTACTTTACCTAGACATTATAATCAATAAAAACGCCTAAGTAAGTAGAACATTATCTGTCTTACAATGTACAGTATCTCCATACTATATACATTCAGAGGTTTTAGAGGTATGTTACAGTAATAATGGAGGGTATGAGGAAGTGTATGTATGGAGATACTGTAATACAGGACCTAGGAGTTGTATACATAAAGGTAGAGTATAAAAATAACCTGGAAGCATGCATAAAGGCAAAATAGTAAACAGGTATCATAGCAACAGTGTATGAAATAAAAGGGTACCATATAGCAACAGTGTATGAAATAAAAGGGTATCATAGCAACAGTGCATGAAATCAAAGGGTATCATAGCAACAGTTTATGAAATCAAAGGGTATCATAGTAACAGTGTATGAAATATAAGGGTATCCAGACCTGTAGCCGGGGGGAGGGGGTTTCCATAGTTCGGGCAAACTCCCCATTTCTAGCAAAACCCCCCCTATTTTCTAGCAAACCCCCTCCCCTTTGGATTTCCCAAATGAGTATTCAAACACAACAATGCACTGCAGACCCACCCAGACAGCGGCGGATGTTTCGCTGCAGACTTTTTTCAAACGTAACTGCTTTTATAGTATATAATACCAATTAAATACAGTATATTATACCCATACATCACAAAAATCCTCTGGCTTCGGGGGTTTCGCCCCTGGACCACATGCCCAGAGAACCCCATCCCCCTTGGAAGAACTTGGCTACAGGCATGGTATCATAGCAATAGTGTATAAAATCAAAGGGTGTCATAGCCACAGATTGTAACTAGCATGCAGTATCGACTCCTTACCTGTTGGTATTTTTGAGCCATCTCTTGCATAATTGATTCGACCCTGTCAGCATATGTCTGCTCAAGACTGTCATTGAAGGGACGTACTTTACTGTGTTTCCTAGCTATTGCATTTGTCATTTTCTTACGTGGTCCTAATAACCTATGAAAAAAAGGAATCATTAAAAATCACACATCAAGGTATAAAAAATTTGACAAAATATGCCCATATTTGGGTGTAATATGACATCATCATTACACAATCAGAGCTTAAAGTTCTGTCCAGATTATCAAATTTTCTTTGACAAAAAACTGTTGTTTGCCCATATATAGTCATGATGAGCCTATACATGGTCATGATGTGATGTCATCATGACCATATTTAGGCATAGCACATGTTTTTATCAAATAAAATTTGATAGTCTGGACAGGGTTTTAGACTTACTTGATGCCAATTTCCTTGAGATCGGTATCATTAAGTGTCAAGAAAACTCTGAGGTCAACGTCTTGCTCTTCAAATAATGAGTGGTATTTACTCAGATTAAGACTCTCCAGCAACGTTGCAAGGTTTGTGTAAGGATACGGCTCTTCCACGTCATCCTTAAAAATGTTCACAACTTTCTCTGGAGGAATGTGGCCATAAAGTGGAGGGAGATGATGGGATGCTTGATTCACATTTTGATTAAACCACTTCTCCACACTTTCATTTTTTGCAACTTGTTTTGAATTTCCATCAGTTGTGTGTTTATGAGGCTTATGTGCATCTGGTTTTGATAATTTATCGTCCTCATCATTACTAGAGAGGCTGTTTTCACGACTGATACCCACTGACCCTGCTAGGCCTCCATTGCTTCCACTCAAACTAGATGAGTTGGATCTTTTAATAGTGAGATCACCGTCAGCTCCTTGCTCATATTGCTCAAACCATGATGATCCTATAAGATACCAAAATTTAAGACATTCATTTTATTCATTATATAGTATTAGTGATCTTATCACAGCCATAAAAAAAAAATCCATAAGAAAGACAACCTGGTCAAAAGGAAGATACACTTGGAGCACGGTTGCCAGCAATAGCAATATGGATTAACAGGTGTTCACTTCAACTTCTATTTCTTGTTAAATTGGTAAATTGGAGCAGTTTCTTCATAGGCTTGAATTCAGAAATTAGGTATAGCAGATGTAAGTATGTACTCAATTCTTCCATTTGGAGAAGTAAACTAAAGGCCTGTCCACACTAACACATTTGACAAAAACATGTGACATGCCTAAATATGGACACGATGACATCACATTATGACCAAATATAGGCACAACATGACTATATAAGGGCATACAGTAGTTTTTTGTCAATGAAAATTTGATAGTATGGATAAAGCATTACCTTTTTCATTGCCATCACATACAGCAATATCATGCTCCATGGGATTGATAGGTGAAATAACCTCACGGTTAGACACAGGGTCAGTAATGAACGGAAGATTGTCCTCAAATGTAACGTAGCCACTAGGAATCATTGAATCTAGAAAAACAATGAAAGTTGCTAATATATAATAATTATGTATTGAGTGGTGCTTATAGGATTCAGGGCAAAGGAATGCTTGCTAGGTTGGTTAAGAAACAAACTAAAGAACATCATCTTCATTGCTATTTCTTTTTAATTGTAAATTTATATAAATGATTAATACAGCTGTAAGAGAAGTTTATTCAATAACTATCAAATCAGATATTAGTTATGTATGTAGAAAGCCTTGTTTGACTATGTTGTTAACAATTGTGAATAAGGTCGGGTGAGCATACTTCATGAATACTTTTCAGATTTGCTTCACCGCAAGTCGATGATTGTTCCATTGGTGTCAACATTTTTAACATTTCAATAACCATAACAAGCTTGATAGTAATTGTTATTGTCGTGATGGAATAATAGACAATAACTGAATTTGCGTCAGGAGAAA